TGATAACACCCCATATCAATTAGCATCTTGTTAATCCATGTTGCATGATTTACGGTTTCTGCTGCAGCAATATACTCAGCTTCTGCAGTTGATTGAGCAACGACTTCTTGCTTTCTAGACATCCAAGAAAAAGCTGTAGAACCAAAAAAGAACACAAAACCAGTTGTGCTCTTGGCATCTTCATGACTTCCAGCCCAATCACTATTAGAAAAACAGTGCAGAATTCCATGTTTATGCTTCTCAAACCATAAACCATAATCTGAAGTGCCATTGAGATATCTCAGCACCCTTTTTGCAACACCAAAACGAGCTTGACTAGGAGAATGCATGAACCTAGATAATAAGCTTGCTGCATACATGAGATCTGGTCTGGTTGCAGTAAGATACAAGAGACTCCCAACCAAACTTCTGTAAATAGAAGCATCTGTCTTCTCATAACCATCTTCAGCAATTAATTTTGAATTTTGAACTAAGGGAGTAGGCACAGACTTGCATTGATCCATACTGAATTTCTTCAAGACATCAAGAGCATATTTATGTTGAGAAACAAATATACCAGATTCACATTGATGAATTTCCATGCCTAAAAAATAACTCATCTCCCCTAGATAAGACATTTCAAATTCTTTCATCAAATTAGCTTTAAAACTGAGCAATAATTGTGAATTGCTACCCGTAATCAACAGATCATCAACATACAAAGAAACTAGCAATTCAGCATCACAAACAAAAGGATTTGAACCAGAATTTTCAACTGGAAAAGTTGTATCTTTGGAAGACTGACCTGAGTTGCATTTAACATACAAGGTTGGCTCATTTTCACTCCTTTGAAAACCTTGTTGAAGGAGAAATGAATCAATCCTGTTGTACCAGGATCTAGGTGCCTGCTTGAGCCCGTACAAAGCTTTTTTAAGCTTGTAAACCTTGTCTTCATGACCAGAAATAATAAAGCCCTCAGGTTGTTGCACATAAATGTCTTCCTGCAAATGGCCATTCAAGAAAGCTGATTTGACATCCACATGGTAAATTGTACAGCCAAAATTAGCAGATAAAGCAATCAACATTCTGACTGTATCATGCTGAGCAACTGGTGAAAAAGTGTCACCATAATCAATTCCAGCTTGCTGAGCATATCCTTTCACTACCAATCTGGCTTTGTGCTTGTGAATGGAGCCATCAGGATTCATCTTGGTTCTAAACACCCATTTGACTCCAATTGCATTCTTTTCCGGTGGTAGGGAAGTTAATTCCCAAGTTTCATTTTTTGTAATCATCTGCATCTCCTCCTGCATTGCATGCCTCCATATGTCATGCTTGGAAGCTTCTGCATACGTGTTGGGTTCTAAAACAGCCAGGTTGCATCTTTCATAAATTTCAGAAAAGGATTTGGTTTTCATAACAGGGGAATCATGGTGAGCATCAACATCAGCTACATTAGAAGCTGAAATTTCCTCTTTGGAAGCTTCTACATCATCCTTGACAGAGGCTATATCACCACTTTTCACAACAACTCTCTTGTCCCAATCCCAATGAGAATCTTCATCAACTTGTACATCTCTGTGAACTGAAATTTTTCCAGATTGCAAGTTGTATACCCTGTAGCCTTTTGATTTTGTAGAGTAACCCACCAGAATACCAATTTCAACTTTAACATCAAGCTTGGTTCTCTTTGCATCAGGCACATGAGTATAGCAAATAGAGCCAAAAATTTTCAAATGATGTGCAGAAGGCTTAACACCAAACCAGGCCTCAATAGGTGTTTTTCCTTGCACAGCCTTAGTAGGCAAACCATTCAACAAATATATAGCTGTATAAACA